GGAGGGGAAGGTGGCGATCATCACAGGAGCCAACACAGGCATCGGGAAGGAGACCGCCAGAGACCTCGCCCGGAGAGGCAAGTCATCAGCCTCCTCCGGCAGGCAGCTGGTGCCTGCACCCCCTTTTCTGTGTCCAAGGGAGGGGGCTTACGCTTACTTCTTAAGTGAATTGGATTCCGAAGTTATTTCAGACGAGTTAGTCCAAGTGTTGCTCCTCCAGAGGCTGCAACCACTGAGGTGCAAGTCCCCAGTTCCTCAACTGGTCTCAGTCCTGACATGAAAATGCTGTGCACTGCCCCTATTCTGAGAGGGCTGGCGGAGTTCCTGCTGTCGCTGGGTTCTGCTTGTGTCAAGCTGGGAAATGCCAATGCTTTAATTATTCGTGTTCCAAGCTAATTTGATTTAGATGCTTTTTGGGTAACACATAAGGAGATTAAACTACCTGTCACAATCCACACTGGCTGGAATTCAAGTATCTTCGTGTGCTTCTGGCGTGACGTTCCCATTATAAAGGCAGATACAATCCTATCATACCAGTGCTGTGGGACACACGCGTGGGAACATTATCCTGGGAGACCCTAGGCCGAATTACTTCAGATGTGCATTTTCCTGATCTGAAAACAGCTTTGGGCGGGATGAGAGCTAACACAGCATAGTAGGAGAGGCTTTGTTCCTCCCAGCTGCTCCCCCGACAGACTGCAGTTCCCTAAAGAAACAGCACGTTGTTTATAAGTGCTGTGCATAGTCAGCCTGCTTGTGGTAGCCTGGATCATCCAGTGTCCTCCAGTGATCTCAGCTTCTGTTCCTGCTGGTTTTCCCCCTCGCAGGTGCAAGGGTGATTGTCGCTTGCAGAGACATAGCCAAGGCAGAAGCTGCAGCCAGTGAAATCCGAGCCGAGACAGGGAACCAGCAAGTCATTGTGAAGAAACTGGACTTGGCTGATACGAAATCCATCCGGGAGTTTGCTGAGAAATTTCTAGCAGGTACTGTCTCTAGATCCTTCTTTTCAGTGAGGAAATTTTACCAAGGACTGCGGTCTGCTCTTCTAGCCAGCGCCAAATCGCTGATGTGTGTATCTCTGCACGTGTTGGGGACCGTGGTTCACAGCAGGGGCTTGTCACAGGCCATCAGCTACTTTGTAGTAGGCGACTTATTTTATTGAGGCCATGTGGCTGCGACTCAGGCAGTCGTGGGCTTTTTGGCTGAGTTGTGCCACCTTATAGTCTGTCTTCGGTCTCTGTTTCCCTGTTTATTAAGGTTGTCTGTTGTTTCTTGCAGAGGAGAAGGAACTCCATATTCTCATTAATAATGCTGGGGTAATGTTATGCCCTTACTCCAAGACTGCTGATGGCTTTGAGATGCACCTGGGAGTCAATCATCTTGGTAAGGCCAGTAGAGTCATGTTTGCATTCACTATCTGTAGCAAAACACCAGAGGAAAAGCCTGCTTTTAGGTTTTCTCTTCCTCATCCTTCCTTCTGGGGGAAGGATGGAGAGCCAGAGTTAGAATTCTGGAGATGCAATGCAATGTATTTGCTTACCATGGACCCAGTTTAAGTACCTGTATGTGCTACCTGGGACATTTGAAATGTATGAGAGCTCCAGCTTTTTGAAGCTGAGGAGCAGAACTTAATGGCCCAAGAAAAGTTTAGCTGTTGATTCTTGGGGGTCTTCTCTTCCCTGGACTTGAGGGGAGCAGTAAGATACAACATGTAAGTAAAACATCATAAGTACTTTGAAATTCCAGAAAGGGAACCCTTCAGAGAAGGATGGCATTTCCTCTCACCCTTAGGTCATTTCCTGTTGACCTTCCTCTTGGTGGAGCGTCTGAAGCAGTCTGCCCCAGCCCGCATAGTGAACGTGTCCTCCCTGGCTCATCACGGAGGCCGAATCCGGTTCCATGATCTCCATGGGGAGAAGTGCTACAACCGTGGCCTTGCCTACTGTCACAGCAAACTGGCCAACGTGCTCTTCACCCGAGAGCTGGCGAGGCGGCTGCAAGGCAAGTCCCAGAGGAGGGCAGAGTGCTCTTCCCCTTGGCTTTTAAGCATGGTGAATGAGGAGAGTGGGTTGAAGACAGGTCTGGAAATGGACTATGCAGGAATGCAGTGGTTTGAGGCAAGGGTCACTGACAGCTCTTTGCAGGAAGAAAGTATCTCCAGAAGACTTAAAACATTGGTTATCTTTACAACAGGGCAGAGGAGTTTAGTAGCCTGGCACAGTTGAATGAATGCCATTTTTCTTTGGTGCTTGTCAAAAACCAGTTGCATCTACACATACACCTGTGGTATGCAGGTGGAAGCTGAAAAAACAGGAGCTGAACTACACTTGCAGCCTCCAACAGAAAACATAACGCATACCCAGCTGCCTGAAATCTCGGTGGCCTGTGAAAAGGCAGCGTAGGGCTAGACACTACCTCTTAAGTCACATCTGTCTCAGCCATGTCATTCAGCCCCTCTCTGAATAAATAAATAAATAAATAAAAATACTACTTAAGTTTATTTACTAGAACAAAAACAGTGGCTTCTCTAGGAAATTAGTATTGCAGGAAATCAAAAGAAGTTGGTGTTCTCAACAGCCTGATGGAAATTGCTGCTGGTTTAGCACCCAGGCCCTCAAGCGTGTTGTTCTGCAGAAGGCACGCAGTGACTGCAGTGTTTGGAATAGAGCAGGGCGTGCTCCAGCCAGCAGTGCCTACAGAGCAATTCAGTTACGCTCCTTGTATCCGTCCATGGACTCATCAGTTCAGTTATTCCTTAATTCTACCTGTAGATAATTACGTGTTACCTTTTTTTTTTATTGTTGTTTAAAGGCAGGTTGATGCATGCAGAGTTGTCCTGAACTACTTTCTTTTGCCATAGGCACCAAAGTCACAGCAAATGCTCTCCATCCTGGTTCTGTCCATTCGGAGCTGGTCCGGCACTCATTCATAATGACGTGGCTGTGGAAGATGCTCTCATTCCTCCTGAAGACACCTTGGGAAGGAGCTCAGACCAGCATCTATTGCGCAGTAGCAGAGGAACTAGACTCTGTGACCGGACAGTATTTCAGGTGGGTGCAAACTTCAGGTGGAGTGATATTCTGTGGAAGGCAACCTCATTGGGTGGGGAAATGAGAATTACTGTCATTCTTTGTTAAGAAGGAACTTGGCAAGAGGCTAGCTGATAAGATTGAGGGTGACAAATATTGGAGCATTACCCCTTCCAGGTCTGTGGCAGCGGCTATCGTGTTAGAAGAAAACCCTGACCTGTGCAACACTTCACACAACAGCAGGTCCTTTAGTGCCAGGAATATCACGGTACTCCAAGTGTAGGCATGCCTGTCACATGCTCAGAGCTCTAATCCTGATCTGCTTAAGACTCCAGTAAATCACTTTGTAGTCAAGCTGTTTAGTTAATGAGGTCACTTGAGTCAATCCTGGGATAGACCATTTTGGTTCTCTTCGTAGTTTTTACCCCACTGGAGCAGAAGGGGGCTGTGCTCCCAGGGAGCTGGGAGGGCTGATGGTGCCGCAGACCTAAGTGATGAGATTTTTCAGGACTGACACATGACAAAATAGCTTGATTCTCCAGCTTGACAAGACCCATCAGCTGGGAGGGATACCTGGAATGCTTATCACTCTGTCCTAGAAACTGTCTTGTGTAACTCCCGCTCCAGACCCTGTTGTTTCTGGACTCCTTTGACTCAAGGAGCCTGCGTAGTCATGCCTCTTCCCCTCACCAAAACTACAGCCCAGAGCAGTTCTGAGTATCATCATCCTAGATCTGAAGACTGCCATTTGAGCAGATGCTGTCTTTTTTTTTTTTTTCTTTTCTCTTCACATGGATACTGCTGGAGCCTTTTTGTCTTTTCAGAGCTTTCCTCTTGTGATATGTGACCAGATTAGTCTCTGTAATGACTCTGTCTGATCCTCACTTGGGAGTCTGTACCACCTTAATCAGACTTGAATATATAAATAGAGGTCTTAATCTTCCCTGGCTGTCTGTCCCAGAATATAAATGGAGCATTTATGTGCTGGAGTACAGAAAACTTCGGTGGATTTTAAACTCATAAAAGAAAGGAGTTTTGGACCTGCTGAGAATTAAGTAGCTTCAACAGTAATTTACAGTTTACATTGGACTAGCCTAAAATCCTTTTCACTTTCTGGGCAATAGAATATAAAGCACAAGTAGAGGCAGTAAGAATTTGCATGCCACAGCAAGACAAATGGAGTCCATCAGAGTCATTTCAGGAACATCAGAGACTCGGCATTGGAGCTCTAAAACTGCAAGGCTGGACAAAGACCTTACAAGATGCAATTTCTTCTGTTTTCTTAAACGGCCATGTTGCTGCAGTCTCTAGCATCACAGAAGAGAACACATGATCCCTGTTGCAGACAGAGTGCTGTCCCATTGCCGGAGCTGAGAAGGAAGGAGCCACAGTTCAGAGGATAACCATACGTGGCTTTTACAGTAGTATTACTCTGGGGCAGCTTTGCCTTCCATGCAATGGCAAGACAGTAGGGGAAATAGTTTAGAATGCAGGGTTGTAGGATTGATCTTTTTGTAATGTTTGCTAGAAAAGGTGCTCCCGAAGAAGCCTGGTTAGCATTTGTAGCCCTTTTCAGTGCATTAATGAGAAGGTATGCTGACAGGTATAGAGTAGAGCATATGTATGTTTCTTTAAAAGCTGAGACAACAGACAGAGCTAAGACTTGCTTGTCAGTTCTTGGTGCCTTGGGAGAAGACTCTTCCCTGGCCAGTTGTAAGAAAAGCTTTCTCAAGGTGGTTTAGCACCAACTCTTGCTCATTTGCTGGACAGCCTCCCACCCTTCTTCAATTGGTCTTGAAGTTAAGATGATAAAAACCAGACACACAGACATTTCAGTGTGCTAATGCAGATGGAGATCTTTGACATGAAGCATAAAAAGTATTTTTCTTACAGTGACTGCCAGCCAGCATATGTATCTCCACGGGGTCGGGATGATGAGACAGCGAAGAAGCTCTGGAATGTGAGCTGTGAGCTCCTCCACATCCAGTGGGACTGAGCAGTGCAGACCTCAAGTGTGTACCTGGCTGAGCCCAGCAATGCTCCTCCCAGGAAGAGCGCTGCCGAGACACCTCAAGGCAAGAATCCTGATACTCAGCTGCCCTCGTGATGGCTCTATGGACACAATCTAATACGAATTTCTGGAATATTACACTTCAGGATCAAGATCTGTGAGCAATTAGTGCCCCTTCCTAGCAAGAGAATTAGAGTTCCAACACAACGAGTGACCTTTGCTTGGTATTTCACAAAACAGCCAGAGGTAGTTTTCTGGCTTTAGAATAGAAATGGAGGTTGCAGTCTTAGGTTTAGACTATGAAGTAACAAAGAATTACCTTTTTTTTTTTTTTTTTCTTTTAAGGTGTTTGGTTTTCTTTTCTTCTAACAGTAATATTAAAAAGGTAGGACTCTAAACTTATGATCTATGAGGTTATCTTCAGTTCCTACTATTTGACCTGGCAGAGTGTAAGTACTTTAGGATATTAGATTTTCTGGCAATTACATGCAATACCAATGCTCTCAAGCACACAGAAACAGGTGCTGGCCTCTTTGTGCCAAGCATTAGGTAAAGTTTTAAATTGGAATCCATTACTTTTCTGTATATATTCTCTGTAAGAAGCCAGCCCCTAGTCACCAAAGTATCTTGGCCCCAAATGCCCATTGATGGCAGTAATTTAACTGAGGGCTGGATTATCTTTTGAGAACCCAGGTCTCAGTGCAGGTGACTGGGAGGTTAAGAGCTGCAGGAGTGTTGCAAGTGTATGTAGGCAAGTTATCTCATTTTAAAAAATTAATCTCTCTCCTATGAAGCACTGAGCAAAGATGGTGTAAACTTTGTTGTGATATGCCCCTCAGCTGCACTTTGGATGACTTTAAAACCTAGAAAAGAGAGCAGGATGAGTAAAGAACATCTCAGCTGTGTAAAAAAAAAATAAAAAAATTAAACAACTTCAGCTGAGACTTTAGCTTTAAATAACAGCAAACTACCTAGGGTTATGTAGCTGAAGCAGAGGTCAGGACCATCTTGTTATTATGGTGAAATGAGCCTTTGCACTGCCAAAAGGCAGCTGGGTCAGCCCATGTAGTGATGGGACTGCTCCCTTAGAACTCTACTGCTACTTCAGTGCAAAGTGCTAGGGGATGATCCATAATCAGAGATTTCTGAAAGAGTTAGGCAGTTAGGAAACAAGTCCCACAGCTCATAAGAGTTATCTTCTGCTTCTGAAAAAAACACTGGAAGTTTTTGTACTTGCATATGAGCATGTCACTGTGACCAACTGCCAGTTTTGGGCAACAAATGCTAATTTTATGATTAATTCTTTCTGCTTGGATGCTATCTATGCAGATAAGTCCTGTGCTACCTCTGAGCAATACAAAATAAAGCCATTCCTTTTACAACAGAAGACTATCTTCCTTCAGAAATACTGAATCAGTTTACTTGGTGTTGCTGTTATCTGCACCTGCCTTACTAATGCAGAGAACTCGGTCTGGGTAACATTTTGAAGTCCCTTTGTGTTTCTCCCTGTTGCTGTACCTTTTTCCCCTCCCTCTTCATGCTTCATCTTGAATATGAAGCTAAATGCACAACGACAATGTACCAGGAGAATGCTACCTAGCATTGAAAGCAGCTTTCAGGAGCAATAGAAACCATTTTTTAAAAATGCAGAAAGAGTCTCTAGGCTGAGGTATTTTGCCCTTCAGGTCAATACTCTTCTCATAGAAGTCTGTCTGTAGACATAACATAAGAAATATAACTACACATTTCCACGGAGACACACCCACTCTGTTTGACCTTGGGAAGTCATTACACCTTCTTCTAGGCTGATGTGTAAAACGAGGAAACTAAAGCTCATTTAGCTGTCTTAAAGGGAGGCTTGTAAGGGAGAGTTAGATCAACTTGCAGAGCTCTCTGAAGAGGATTACTGGTCTGTGAGTCCATGTATGAGGCTGAACTAGCTACTGGGAGAACTTGTAAAGATATGATATTCCAGTTCATCTAAATGCTTAGGACACTGTAGCAGACAGACTTTGCAAGACAGAACAATTCTCCCCCTTCTAATGACTCTGCTAAGCATAGCCACAGGTACAATGCACATCTAGACAGAGATTCCCCAGCTGTGCTGAGATAAAAAGCAAGCAGAAGATATGCTAACAGAAGATACTTTAACAGTCATAATACTTTATTCTCTTTTTTAATTGTAAACAAGCCTTGGTCATTAATATAGGAGGTCTTTTTAACTGGCAGTACTCAATCCCTTTTTGATGCTCAAAATCTCAAAGTCCCTTGATAATTGCACTATTCATGACACGAGGCAGTTAGTCAGGATCAAAATTCCAGTTCTGCTGGTAAGAGAAATATCCCTACAATTCCACGTTAAGAACATCAAATTACAACAACCACTATATAAAGTGCAGCAGGTACAGTGCAAAGAGGTCAGGAAGAAAGGCAGGTACAGAACTGACTGGTCTGCATGGCAAACTCCACTCTCCATGCTCTACACAGCTGAAGGAACTCGAGCAGAAAAGTAGATGTTACAACACATCAGTGCAGGTCTGGATAAACACACACAGTAAAACCTCCTCCCCACAATTAGGAATTTGGAAATGATGGAAGGCATGGACAGCATCACGTTTTAGGTTTAGCCTAATGGCTGTAATCTGATGGAAAGCTAGGTCAGTCTGGCCAAGGAAACAAAAGCAGCTTTCATTAGTACTGCTCGCTAATGAGATCATGCAAATCTGTGGTCAGAAGATTTTGAAAGCTAAACGTGATCATTTCTGACTGCTTTGCTCTGAGACATTCTGAGCCCTGCTCCAGTGAGCAGAGCAGCTCCGAGAGAGGTGTTTGTGTCAGTGGGGCACTGCTCATGAAACACTAAAGGAGATGGCCCGAGTCGTTCCCAACACCATGGAAGCCTGTTCTGTCACTACAGTGAGCTTTGGGATAGTGCAAAACTCAGATTTGACAGTCTCAATTATTTTATATACTAAAACTATTTATACTATACTTGAGAAAACATGTTTGTTTTGAAGTAACTAAACTTTTTAACAAAAAAAGTGAACTAGTTTTCCTACTTGTGCTGAAACACATGTAAACAGCAAACACAGACCTGTTGAGTGCCATGTTTTGTTCTGTTTTTCTTTGAAGGTCCTACTACTGTCTACCATTCTGCCCATTTCTCCTGTCCCAGTTACAGCTGCAGAGAAGCAGCCGCTTTTTTCAGCATCCCTGAACAAAGCCATTACACAAAGATTCCTGCTTTTTCATAAAACTGAGTTAATCGAACACTTTTAGAGCAAAGCCTGTTAACATCATCTATAGAGCACGTCCAGTTCATAAAACTTTAGTCTGGTGTTCTATTGTACAGGCCAGGGATAGATTATTCTGGTAAGAAACAAATAAATACCTGTGTGACAGGTATACAGTCTGCCTGTTGAATTCTACCACAGACTCCTCTATCCATATTTTCTGTTACACCTGATGAAGAACTTCAAGTTTGCTGGCAACTGTTCAGTGATAAATCTGCATCGCAACAATTTGGTGGAGAAAGAGGTATGTGATTTTTCAATTATTTTAAAGGACTGTTTTCCCTTTGTCCTCCCCTTACAGGATATGGCCTTTATAAGTAACTTCATCCATTCAATAAGGTATCAAGTGCCATATGTATGGCATACATCAGACAATGTGACTGTTAAGTAGAAATCCGCCATGAAGAATCAGTTCCTACTTTTTCAAATGAACTAAAGAAATTGGGCACATTGTACTGGTGGAGAAGGGAAAAAAAAAGTAGCAATGGTTTGTATACAGACTTAAAAAAAAAATAATCTGAGTTTCAGTCTTTGTAAAAGATCTCTCCAATCTTGAAAAAGTTTACAGGAAACCCATAATCACAAAATGTTTTATAATCTAGGCTACATTGAGTTGAGATTTTTTCTGTCCTCTCTATATAGGTTTTCTGGATTAAAAATAAAAGAAAACCCACCATGAAGTTCAGTGCCTTTCTAAAAAAAAACCCAAACAACAAAAATAAAACCCAAACCAGAAACAAAAGTGCTCTCTTCCACACACCTAAACTCTTGCTTGTTCAGTTTGAAACTGCTCCACTCACCCACCCTACCCCCATTCAAAAAGATAGCCAAAAAAACACCCTGAGGTAGTGACTGTTTGTCAAAATACAGGACTGGCACTTGTAATTTAGTGTCCTTCCCTTCACCAGAGGCACATGAGCAGCATCCATTTGCCACCAACATAGTCAAGAGACTCGATTTTCCCAAAAGATTGCTGAACCACACACCTTTAAGCTCTCTTGAAGCCCTCCCCTTCTGTTGATGGTGAACTTCAATCACGTATTACTTCCTAGCGCCCTGGGGAAGCCGATTCCTCATTTTGGGCTGGTGCACAGCCAGCCACTGGGCACAGATGGCCTTCACCACATCGTCCCCGCTGCTCTCGGCCAGCTGCTGCACGTGCTGGACCAGCTGCACCGCTCGTGTCTTCTCCTGCCTCACCGAGACCAGGTAGGCAGAACGCAGCTTGTTGCACATCACGTAGGCCTGGATCTGAAGCAGGAGAGGCGGTCAGAACTTGGTTAGAAAGCTGCACTAAGCTAACAGGACAAGCTTAAGCTAGGATTCGTGGAACATGCCTAGTTCAGATGCATGCTGTACAAGGTAGCAGCAGCATATTATGCTGCAGAGTATGGCATGGAGCAGATCCCAATTTTGAAGACTGATAGACAGCTGTATTTTATTGTCTCTTGTGGAACCTCCTTTATTGTACCAGCATGGAATTAGCATCAACAATCCTATCTCGTGCATGAAATTACCATATCCTCACAGCAGAGAGTCTAAACCAGCCCTTTTCTTCCATTGTTGGTTCTAAAACAGCTCACATCTTTCAGTGATATATCATAGAACGCTTTGAGTTGGAAGGACCTCTAAAGGTCATCTGTCCAACCCCCCCTGCAGTAAGCAGGGACATCCCCAACTAGATCAGAGCACAGAGCCCCACCAAGTCTGACCTTGAATGTCTCCAGGGATGGGGCCTATACCACCTCTCTGAGCAGCTTGTTCCAATGTTTCACCACCCTCACAGCAAAGACACTACGTAAAGGCAGAATGAAAAGCCCATTTTTCAATCTACATACAACAGTGAGCTTGGTTGCTGGAGCAGGACAGAGGACAGCCACAAATCTCAATATTATACTCA